TGTGTGTGTGTGTGTGTGTGTGTGTGTGTGTGTGTGTGTGTGTGTGTGTGTTATATTGTAGTACGTATCAATCATTATCAATCGTCATCAATCATTATATACAATTATACAGTGTAATCGCAATAGCACAACAATTAACGGTAGCACTTTTAATATTGATTATATAAGACTTTCTATATTTGAAAGATCATATAACACCAAATTTTATAAACTTGATTGGTAAACTAATCAAGCTAAATCAAATATATAATTTCATTTTATATATATAATTTTGGTTCAACAAACTATTCTTTTTCTTAAGAAGAAGAAAATGAACAAACAGAATGAATGTTAACAGTGATAGTGTCTTTCCTTAAACACACGGGAAACTCAGACTAGTAGTAGTGAGATTGTCTAACGTTTTATCGACGATTATCGCTATCTTTAACTAGCGATAGTCAATAGCAAGGATAATCTTAGAAAAAATCTGATCTTCATTAGCTATCGGCGCTATCGCTATAATTATAGCGATTTCGTTGATAAAACGTTAGAAAATCTCAGGTATCAGGCCACAATTTAAATCCCAGCAGTGACTGGAGCGATGTGATGTTTTTCTCAAAAGCATTTCATATTCTCTTCGGAATACTATTAATTAAACATATAGCTTTCTTACGTATAGAAGACTTAATTCCTCTATTAATATTATGATTTAACATAATCTTTTCAAGTTCATCAAGAGGCATATAAAAGACGTTAATCGATATGTATATAAACCCATCAAAAACACAGTAATAATTGATTTAATAATATGGCCGACAATTGTTTTTTTCCATTTCAATAATTTGTTCATCAAACAAGGAGAAGAATCAATGCATTTAGAAACTTTAAAGCTGCACACAATGTATTATATATTTTTTTATTCTCGCGCAAGGATGAATCGGCGCGAAAGGTGACAGCGGAAGAAAAGGTAACAGCAGAAGGTGAAGATGCTTTTGTTTATTATTAACCTTATGTAATATCGTTTCAAATTTTCAATTACATTATTATATATAATAATAATTATAATAATCATCATAATAATGTTATGACAATGTATACACGTTAGATACAAGTTCATTTTCCTTCATCCGGTATAGAGTTTTGTTAATTATTTTTTCTCATCTTAATAAATCGGTTTTTTGTTTCTTAATTCACATTTCCATTTTCTCTCTCTCTCTCTCTCTCTCTCTCTCTCATACATACACGCATACATTCGCATGAAAATGCGTTCTTTCTCTCTTTTCTTCTTGCACTTCCCATTCATCCCTTATATTTTTTGTCCCGATAGGAATATGCCGAACGAGACATCAAGATATTATCAGATATTATCACTCTCATGCTCGATTCTCAAAGGAGAATGCTTACGCGGTGCCTCTCAGATGCATCTTTCTCTCTCTCTCTCTCTCTCTCTCTCTCTCTCTCTCTCTCTTTCTCTGTCAGTCATATTATAGTTATATTTGTTTCTGAACACAATGCTTTTACTCATGACGTTAGGAAACTTAGGTTACTTTACTTCTGCCGCAGGAACATGTTCCAAAGATCTCGTAATTGTTTTCCGCGGGCGCGCTTCACGGGACTTTTTCAAAGGCCGCACGTGCGCTCCGCAGAGAGATTTGCAAGCTAAAACGTAAAATCATGGAAAGAAGTTCGAGCGAAGAACACGGAAGAAAGATTTCTCACGGATACAGGGAGTACCGATCGACAATCTAATGAGTTGCATGCGATCGAAAATTAAAAGGTAATTGTAATGTTAATCCTCCATTGCCCTCATTATTCGTTGACATTTCAAAATCTTCAATGTACACAAATATGCATCAGTATTTAAATTATAGATCTTTTTCTTCTTGAAAACAGGAGAATAGATAATTTTCTATATTACAAAACTTTAAAGTTAAAATAATCGGATCATTCCAAGAGCGTGAAAATTGAATGGTAATGAAACAAGTTAGCGAATGATTTCAAAATTACATTATTACATATAATAATATAATTATATAAATATAATTATTATAATCGTAATAACGTTACGATAATATATATATATGTTAGATATAAGTTGATTTTTCTTTATACGAGCTTTATTAGAGCTTTATTAATTATTTTTTTTTCATCTTAATAAATCAACTGGGCAACAGATGATCAAGAAAATTCATCGAAAAATCGCTTTCGCGCTACAAACGTTTAAAAACGTGCGAGCAATACGCAAAGACGTCGCATATACGTGTCGACTATGATAAATAATTAAAATACAATACAGTTCGTTATCCTCTCTCTTCCTCTCTCATGATCGTTCTGCAAATCAAACAACTCTAATATTTTATGTAAAAAGAATATACACACATACACACACACACACACATATATTATATATACATATATGTATGTATATACGCATATGTGCGTGCGCAGTAATTGTTTGGAACATGAATTGCGGCTGGCTCTTATACTATTAAATGTATACATCTCTGTTGTCTGCTAATTGGCTTAAATACTTTGCATTTTGCGACAGCTGAATGGAGTGGACAAATTCATCCCAAGACGGTGGTTCTCGAACTCGAAATAAAGCGCGCATGTCGGAAAGCGAAAGGAATTCTAAGGGGAGTTCTCTCATCCTGTTCGCCGGGCTTCCTTTTTCCCAATGGGAGAGGCTGTTGTACATGCATTTTTGAAACATACTCCTTGCGTCCTGTCTCTCTCTCTCTCTCTCTCTCTTTCTCTCTCTCTCTCTCTCTCTCGCGCAAACAAAAAAAAATTTCTATCTCGCACAGCTCGTTTACCTCGCCTCGCATGTTTAATTAGCGTCTTACACGTTCACCATTTAAAATTGCTATTTTTCCCGATTCGAGAATCGTACCCTACCGCGGCTATTCGTGAAAAAATTATCCCTAAACTTGTTCTGGACGCCGGCGGTGTCTTTTAACTTCGCTAAAAAAAAAAACTCACGGTCTGCCAAGGAGAAGAGCGACCGGTATAACTTTTACGCGAATCTCATTAGTGACGTTTTTGCGTCAAGTGGAAGAAATTCCGATCGCGTTACGGAATAAGACTCGGCCAGCCTTCGATATTTTCTCGTGCAGCATATCTTCGAAGATCAGTTTTTAAGAAGATTTATTATGGTCGGTAGAAAGAGGAAAACGACTTCAAGCATCTTGATTGAGCTTCTCTTTCAACTGACGTGAGCTCAGGTAGCAAGGGGACATTATTTGTCATTTTGACGTAAAAATAATGTTTTTAAAGTCATTTTGACGTCAAAACGACGACAAATAACGTTAGCTTGATACCTGGAAATAAACAGTTTTCGTAGTGTTAGTATAAGAATCACCAAACAACTACGTTGCTGCATTAGGTCCATCTACAGATCTTTATCTCTGGATCACATAGATCTTGGTAGAAATATAGGTATATTTCGAGAATGCCAAGCGGTTGTCAACAGCAATGGCTGTTAATTGATACAATTACGACTTAACTACAGCGTTACATGTGTATTTTTATCGTCTCATGTGCAGCGAACAGTTTAAAAGTTACGCGCCAGTCACGCATTCTTTCTTGGCAGACCGTGTGTCGTTAACCGATCAATCACATTGCTACAGGTAAACGATAATAATAATCATCCAGTTAAAATCAACAATATCATCGAAAGGAGAACGATGCGCTTCGATGCATTATCAAACACGGCGCTGTGCCCAGGAGTCCATCGTGGGTCGGATTGCACACCTCTCTCCGACGGGGAGAAGACCGATACCGAGTGCCTTCATTCGATGTAAGATATCCATCCCGATGTAAGATATTGTTTCACGCATAGTCATCCTGTTGACGTGCGATCGTCATCATGCTGGAGCACAATCGGCGAAATGATTCGAGTTCCCGAACGAATAAAAAGTAAGTCCGAATGTACAGAGGTTTCCGAATAGCGTATCTCTCTGAGAATATTGTGAACACCGTTATTTGCGGGACTAGTGAGCACAGCGTGTAACAAGATGAAGTCGGAAGAGGGCACGCGATATATACATATATGTTATATATAATATATATGTATAATATATAATATATACATGTAATATTATATATATTATATATTACATACATATATTTTCTTTACATATATATATATATATATATGTATATGCATCGCACATTGTCTATATTTATAGAGCGTACTGATTTTTGCCGTTCAACAAGGTATTATTTGCGAGGACGCCCAGAATTTATCATAGAAAATCCTAAACGTCCCGCCGATTTAATCTCTCTACACCTAACAAATCATATTCTGTACAACTTCAACTGCGGAAATTATCAAAAAGGTTATTGAGGTAAGGTGCGACATATCCCGTTTTACGTTTCTTCTTTCTTTCTTTCTTTTAGACGATTTTTCGGAGAGCTGCTTCTCTTCTCTCTTTAGGTATTTTATTTATGTCATAGTGAATCTATCTATTTTAAGCATTGCTTTCGAGCTATCTAATCACAACACAGACTCATTACGACTCTTGAAATTTAATGTATCTTAAGCACCGATTGCCGTAAATCTCAATGCGATATAAAAACATTTATGATACAAGTGTCAGTGGG